AAAGGGGCAGAGTGGTCTCGATAGTCTGAGTTGGTGATAGCCCGCACAGCTCGCTTTTGCAAATAGTAAATTCTATTTAAGTTAGATACGTATGTGGACGACCAGACGGAGTTACAATAGACGATATAAGGATAAACTAAGGTGTAATACAAAGTGAGCTTGGTTACAGAGGATAAGGAAAAGCAAGACCTAAATATGATACCTATTGATTTAGCGATTTGTTTACATACATAGCTTATATGGTATTTCCAGGTGAGATGATTGTCAATATAGACCCCAAGGAATTTAGTTACATTAGCTTGTTGTAGGGGTTACCTCCAAAGGAGAGAGAAATGCTGGAGTTAAATTTCTTCTGTCTTGGTTTAAAAATTATATAATTGGTTTTCTTTACATTAACTGAAAGCTTGTTACATTTTAGCCAAACGTCAAAGTTTTGGAGTTCATCATTAAGTATGAATTCTAAGCAATTTAGATTTGAGTGAGAATAAAAGATACTGGTGTCATGGGCAAAAAGCAGAGGGTCTGATAATTCAGAGACATTAGGAAGGTCATTAATGTATAGAATAAACAATAGTGGGCCTAAAATCGAACCTGGAGGGACACCACACTTGATGGTTTGCATCGGAGAGCAAGCTTGATTGAATTGGACAAATTGCTGGCGGAAAGAAAAGTAACTTTTAAACCACTGCAGAGCCACGTCACGGATACCATAGTGTTCCAATTTGGCAAACAAGATTTGGTGGTGGAGAGTGTCGAATGCTTTGAAAAGATCTAGGAAAACACCCACCGTTGTTTGGTGTTGGTCGATTGCAGGTGTTATGTTTGTCTACAGCAAAGAACAACATGAATCATGGCATCTGGGGATGGAGGGGGGGGTATATAGATTCAAGTTTGTGTTTCTTAACCGTGCAAAATGCATTGGATTTTTTTTTTTTTGGTATGTTTGTCTTGAAAATGGTTATTTTATCTTGCAGGAACACCCTTGGGTTACAGCAGCGTACTTTGGCCGCGGCACAGCCTATGTACAGAAGGGTTTACAGGTATGTACTTCGCCACTATTTACTTGTGCTTCCCCATAAAACATACCTCCTTGGTCGATTTGAAGAAATTAATTCAATTTTTTTTCTCAAACAAAATGGTGGTTTCCTTCCAGCACAAGGAAAATGCCGAAGCAGCAATTGAAGATTTTTCAACAATTATTAGGCTCACCCCGGACGATCCTGAAGGTTGGATCAAGAGAGCAGAGGTAAAGGTGTAAAATACTCTCCATCCCTCCCCCCCCGGCTGCCCATCAGACAGCTATTTGAGTCAGTTTTAGATCCATAATTAAAAATGATTATTATAAAAATATTTTTTTGCATACAGTCACTGAAATATTTTTATTTTATTGCAATTATAACTGCCATGGTCGACTGATTCTTCAAGTAAGGACAACTCTAAGACAATTTTTAACACGAGTTCGGAACGTTTTAATTGACCCCCTCTTAAATTCACTGGAAATCATGGAGCTAACGATAACAACCTAACGATACAAACTTACGATATTGTAATACACTCCCCTCCTAAAGTCGTTTTACCACAATTGTTAGGTTCTCCTACACTCATAAACGAGTGGCAAATGTGTCGTATACGTCAAATATACGTATATGTCAAATGCGTTGTATACGTTTCCATCTCTGCGTTTCCATCTCTGCGTTTCCATCAAAAAGGATTGTTTTTCTTCGACCAAAGCGTGAGAAACCGGAAGTTTAAAGTGTTTTGGTAGTGCCAGGTCACGCTCTCCTCGTCCCTTAGGGTATTCTCGTTTTCCAATATGGCGATGTCTTTTCCTTCGTTTCTTAAAAATTGCGTATTACCTTGTAAGTCCATTAGTCACGTCCATTTATCTTATTATATCGTAATTTTGTATCGTTAGGTTGTTATCGTTAGCTTTCATTCATGATTTCCAGTGAATTTGACAGGGGGTCAGTAGGGGGTCAGTTGACCCGCGGTAGGTGTTTTGTCCTAGCCCTGCACGAAGCGATATGACAAAATACAGTGGAACTTACTGGACAAAACTGCGCAAACTACGATGAACAATACGGTTTAAACACACCCTATATGACTTAACGTTAAGAAATGACACAAAGAAAGCGCACGCAAAAGTTTTACTACAATTAACACTGTTTGAACAAGAACAATAAAAACAAAGGAAAAAGAATAAGGCGTTTGCGATCTACAGCAATGTTTCATTTTTTTTAATTTCATTTGTCTGACTCGTACATATACTTTGTTGCTATGTATTCTACAGGTGTTTTCGCCTCTGGGAAATATCAGAGGGGCCTTAGCGGACATAAAAGTTGCTTTGGATCTGAAACCAAGTTCTCAGTTGTACATTATGAGTGGCACACTGCTGTTTATGCAGGAGGTGAGATTAGGGGTTTGAGGGAATTCTGTCTCCAAGGGTGGGGAGGGAGAGGGAATTGCAAGAAGGAAAGGATAAATCACAACTTGAAAGAGAGAGAACTCAAGCTGCAATAAGCAATAATTGTTAATAAAAGGTGTTAGATACGATGAATATATGAAGTTCACATGTTTGAACTGTGGTTATAGATACGTATGATGCACGATCCTCGCACCAGAGAGCGCTATTTATGCAGTAGCGAAAATCAGACCTGAAAAAAATCAGGCCTGTACGGGATTCGAACCACTGACCTCTGCGATACTAGTGCAGCG